TGGAAGGACGTTGAGTACCTGAAGAAGATGGAATATCTAAGTAGGTCACCTGACCTAAACTCCCTCAATTACCCGGTTCGGGCGGAGTTCAACAGGGTGGTCTACAGTGGCGGAGAAATCAACTATCTCGCTGAACTCAGGTACCCACTCACGGTCGCGTGGCAGAATCTCTCGATGGCGCTCCTCCAGAAGGCTGTGGCGGAGTATCATGATAGTATTTAATATGGTGGTAGAAATGTCCGATCAGAATTTGATAAAGTGTAACTTATAGCGCCTCGAAAGTCATTAAGAAAAGTGACTTTTTTTGGTCCCCCTCCCTGTATTGTCAACGTTTGGAAGACCAGTAGAGCATGTCTGACATTTTTTCGCTAGAACGCACAACCACTGCTCACAGGCTGATTCCAAGTCCACATGCGTCGACTTCGCAGCCAATTTCAATAGCATTAATGAGACAAATATTAGTAAATGGATTGTCGGAAGAACGTTGAGAGTGTTGGGGTTAAGTTTTAAGTGGGCGATCATGAACCGCTCATCTGCGCAGGAATTCAAGGATTTAAAACAGAGTCACTTTTCGCCACCATCACTGAAAATCGAGCGGTGGAGACAGCGTCCTGTTCATCAACGCAGGAGTGTTGAGATCGTCGAGAAAATGAGTAACACACATGATAACATTAGATTCAAAAGCAACGAGCCCGCTCCCGTCATTGGATTGGACGTTGTCTCCACCCTCGATTTTCAGTGATGGTGGCGGAAAGTGACCTCTGCTTTGACCCTTTGAATTTACGCAGGAACAGCGGGTTCTCCGTCGCACACCAACCATTAAGCCCTAGCATTATTAGTGTTCTTCTAGCAATCCATTTGCTGAGATTTGTCTCATTAAGGCTATTGAGGATTGGCTTTGAAGTCGACGCATGTGGACTCGGAATCAGCCTGCGAGCGGTGGTTGGTGCGTTTATCCTAGCGAAAAGATGTCAAATATGCTCCAGTGGTCTTCCAAACGTTGACTGCAGTCTTATTGTTGTGACCACGATGGCACTGTGCGTCTAAAACTTTCAGAATACTCGGGAAAGGCGCGCCTTTACGCCGACATTTTCCATCTTCATGGCAACTTTTTTTGTGCCCGAGGTTCCAGTCTTCTTTCCAGTCACTGAAAGAGTAGAATCCCATTCTTGGCACCTAGAAACAATGTCATAGAACTCTTAGAAACACAAAAAAATGGGACGGTATGGTAGCCATTGAAATACTGAAATTATTTATGCAAAAAAAATTGTAGACCATGCACTATGTTCAAAGGCAACTGCTGTCTTTTACTGGTAACAATGGTAGGTACAACATATTACAATTTGAAAGGAATCGCTTGGCTGAGAAGAAAAAAATTTTTCCTTTTTATCATTTAAATCAATTGATATGATTACTTGTCACCCGTCATCAGTGTCCCCATCGCTAAACCTCTATAACCTGGTGGTGTAAAAGCTCTAGCACCTTGAAGAACAAACTGCGGCAACGTTCATTGTCACTCCCTTTCAGTTTTATCACTTTCTGCCACCCACCAATAGTGATCTCGTCGCACCCCTCCTTGGAACCAAAGTCTCACTGCTACTGGGAGCGGCGCTATGAATTTAGTGACCACATAGACGCTCACACACACGCACGGACATAGATTATATATGGTAGGATGGGATCACTTTAGTTTCTTATTCCAACTTATATAAGTGTTTTAGAAGTCTCCTACTGCAATTTTCCTAAGTTCTGAAACACTGATAGTAAGTTCAGGGTATAGTTAGAGTAAAAAAAACAAAAGGAATCACATAGGAATTGAAGCACGTATTGATTTAGGAAAGATCAGCACAGGATTTTGAAAACCACAAGTATAAGTTTGAGCAATGAATAAAAAACCTACATCAAATAGAACTTTTACGCTTTTGCTTCTCCTTACCTCGAATGCAGAAAGAAAAATGAGAGAAAGCTTTTACCTCCAGTCCTGGCCCTCTGTTCCCTAATTCATTAGACCGTGAGTTCTATGATAGTAACAACTCTTGAAAAAAATCACATTATTGGGGATTCCCCAACTAGCATTTAGAGCGGTTCAACCAGTGCGTTGAGGTGCGCTTGGTTGCCAATCTGCGATTGCCACCATTAGCGCGAGCGCTGCTGCCATGGCGAAGTGTGAACGCTGCGCTTGAAAACTCGGAAAAAAAAGCAAAAACGGCTCATAACTTCATGGAACGGTTTGCAAGCTGAGCTCAGGACTGTGCAATTCACGATACATCTGTGCTGTGATTGATCGAAGAGAACTTCTAGCCAACCCGCTGCGCGAATTCATTTTCCGAGTATGAATGCACTAATGCATCTTCTCTTGATCAATGTTTGAAATTTGTACGTTCACCGCAGATTGTCCTCATCTTGTGACTCATTCTGCATCAGGCCTAGAAAGGTGCAGCTTATGCGCAGTGGTCATTCCTATATCACTCATGACCGTATATGCAGCGATCCGTTTTCACTTAAACTGGGACCTTCAGCTACGGATCTACTTGAGATCGACTCGGAATGGGACGTGACAAATTCTTCTTTGTATGATCGCTTCTCCACTTTTTTTTGATCTGGTAGCAGCTGAAGCCAGAGGAGTTTCTTGAGTTTCTTCGTGTTACCAAACAAGCGTCTTATTGATCCGAAATCCATTCCATCTTATCTTAGTACGCTTTTCCAATGGTGCCGACTAGTTTACATCCTGCTTTCCTGCCATGGACCATTTTCTTCTTGATCTCCTGCAGTCGATGTCATTGCTTTTACTCTCTATTGCAGTGGCTACTTATTGTCAAGTACA